TGCGCTGCATCCTGCTAAGGGTGTTCGGCATCTTGTGCTTACTTCCTTCCGTACGGATGACAGCTGCGTATGACTTAGTTTTTTTTCTGGTGCTTGCACTTCCTGAGACAGTTGGAAGCACTGTGTAACTGCCTCGAGGGTGCTTGACCATTTTAACACAACGTGGTGCGATCATCCCCCTTGCGCGGAGTGAGGCTTCTCCACCCCGCACAACATGATCCACTCGACCACCATTATCGTTACCGCCAAAAAAGAAAGAGAGGTAAAAAAAACGGTAACCTGGTTGCCGAGTTCACGAAGTGAATTGGCTTGTTTTACANACACAACGTGGTGCGATCATCCCCCTTGCGCGGAGTGAGGGTTCTCGACCCCGCACAACATGATCCACTCGACCACCATTATCGTTACCGCCAAAAAAAAAAACGAGGAAAAAAATACAAACGGCAACAACCTGGTTGCCAAGTTCACGAAGTGAATTGGCTTGTTCTACAACGTCGTTGCCAAGCGACGAAAACCCAATCCCGATGGCAAACACCGGGGGGGGCGGCTTGTTTTACAACGTCGTTGCCAAGCGACGAAAACCCAATCCCGATGGCAAACACCGGGGGGGGCGGCTTGTTTTACAACGTCGTTGCCAAGCGACGAAAACCCAATCCCGATGGCAAACACCGGGGGGGGCGGCTTGTTTTACAACGTCGTTGCCAAGCGACGAAAACCCAATCCCGATGGCAAACACCGGGGGGGGCGGCTTGTTTTACAACGTCGTTGCCAAGCGACGAAAACCCAATCCCGATGGCAAACACCGGGGGGGGCGGCTTGTTTTACAACGTCGTTGCCAAGCGACGAAAACCCAATCCCGATGGCAAACACCGGGGGGGGCGGCTTGTTTTACAACGTCGTTGCCAAGCGACGAAAACCCAATCCCGATGGCAAACACCGGGGGGGGCGGCTTGTTTTACAACGTCGTTGCCAAGCGACGAAAACCCAATCCCGATGGCAAACACCGGGGGGGGCGGCTTGTTTTACAACGTCGTTGCCAAGCGACGAAAACCCAATCCCGATGGCAAACACCGGGGGGGGCGGCTTGTTTTACAACGTCGTTGCCAAGCGACGAAAACCCAATCCCGATGGCAAACACCGGGGGGGGCGGCTTGTTTTACAACGTCGTTGCCAAGCGACGAAAACCCAATCCCGATGGCAAACACCGGGGGGGGCGGCTTGTTTTACAACGTCGTTGCCAAGCGACGAAAACCCAATCCCGATGGCAAACACCGGGGGGGGCGGCTTGTTTTACAACGTCGTTGCCAAGCGACGAAAACCCAATCCCGATGGCAAACACCGGGGGGGGCGGCTTGTTTTACAACGTCGTTGCCAAGCGACGAAAACCCAATCCCGATGGCAAACACCGGGGGGGGCGGCTTGTTTTACAACGTCGTTGCCAAGCGACGAAAACCCAACCCCGACGGCAAACACCAGGGGGGGGCGAAACTTGTACGGGGATAGCTAAAAAAATCTTACGGGTGAATGTACTTTCAAGAATGTCCACGGTGATTATTGTACAGTAGGCGGCGGGCTGTGTTCTTGGGTATGCGAACATTGGTGTTGGATACAGATACATGTGCTGGATGATTTGGTGTCACGCAGACTGGGAAGATTGACGTTTGGTAGGGGGCACCGCGATGATTCACGGGGACCCTCCTTGCTGTGGGAGCCGCTCTTCGAGCACTCCCTCTTTCGTCCGTGTGAATGACGGTCGTCTACCTCANCCAGTAGTGGCGGCTGGGTTGCCGCCACCGAAGGCCAACAAGAAGAGCCCCTGCAGCCGCTCGGCGGTGGCGGGGGATTCTCCAGCAGCAAGCGAGATGGTGGGCAAGGACCACGGCAGCTGCTGGAAGGCGGCTGGGCCAGCAGATCGGGAGCGAACCCTGTTGGACCAGCCGGAGTGGGCCAGGTCATATGACCGGACTACGGGGAAGCGTGGGGGTCAAACCCCCCACGTGAGATACCCGTGATTCGGGGAAATGGAGAATACCTTGACGGCTACAGCAGTAGCCACCGGAAACGAGTGACGGTCAACGCCCCGCTTCTAGACGAAAAAGGACGTAGCCACGGATTTGATTCGTGGCGAAAATCGTTCATCCAAGCTGCGAAGACCATCGACTTGGCGGGTAGTTTATAGGAGATGCAGAGAGCATATCCCCGTGGGCGATCCAAACTTGCCGACTTCCGAGCTGCTCCGTAGGGGGCACACGAGAGCAGAAGTCCAATGAGGGCTTCAGGCGTTCCATTTTATCACTTCTGCTGTGGTAAAAGAAGCTGACAAAGCAATCATCAGTAACTGTACGTCAGCAAAACCGGTCCTCACGGAACTGGAAACGGTCTACGATCCAGAGTCACAGGGGTCCAAACAGGCCTTGATGCGGAAGATGTTCGACTTTGCAATCCTCACACACAGCAACAGAAACCCCATCGAGCACCTCTACTCACTTGAGCTGAATGCCAGCCTGTGCGAAAAGGGGCTCAATGCTGAACAACCCTTCGTTCTCGCCCACTTCGTTGGTTCCCTCCCACCCGAGTACCAACAAGCGAAGTTCCTGTTGGAGACAGCAACGGCGCTGGATAGGGCCGAGATCGTCAGAATCGTGAGCACGATGCACGCGAGCCTTCCGGAGGGGAGGAAGGCCTCGAAGGGCCAGCGGAGGGCGGAGCACGCTCTCCTCGCGAGCGACCGTAGCGGTGGGGGAGGAGCGCCGGGCCGCGGCAACGGTGGCCACCGCAAGGGTGGCGGCGGCGGCGGTGGCAACCAGAAGGGGAGAGGGGATGGCGTGAAGGCTGGAGGCGGTGGCGGAGGCGGCGACGACGATGCGGGTAGCATGCGCGGTCGCTGTTTCCGGTGCGGCAAGAAGGGTCACCAGGTGGCCGACTGCACCGAGAGCACGCCCGTGCGATGTGAAACATGCAAGGGCTACGGGCACGACAAGAGAAAGTGCCCGACCGAGGGGGCGGTGTTCGTGGTGGAAGTGCCGGCGGGGGGGGCGTCTGCGAACGCCACAGCACTGGACGTGGCAGAAGAGGCGCTGGTGGTTGGTGGCATCTCAGGCGAGTATCACAAAGTCGTTGGTCGAGGGGGTGTAGAGCAGGCTAGGCGGGGTAGGTATGTTGCCGATACCGGCGCTACCACCCAC